GCAAGGTCCTGAGTTCAATCCTTAGTACAAAAAAAAAAAAAAAAAGAGAAAGTAAGCAAAAGATGAACAGACATTTCACGGAGGCTACACAGATGGTAAATTAAGAACATGAAGAGATGTTCAACATTTTTAGCCATAGGAGAAATGCATATAAAACCACAATGAAATCAGGTACAGTGGTACACACCTGTAGTCCCAGCTCGGGAGGTGGAGACTGGAGGATTACAAGTTCTATGACACTGTAGGCAATTTAGTGAGACACAGTATCAAAATTAAAAACAGGGATGTAGTTCAGTGGTAGAGCATTTGCGTAGTATGTATTGGGGCCCTAGACCATCAGTTAATCCTAAGATATCACTACACATCTATCAAGAGCTAAAATTAAAAAAACATACCACTAGAAGAATGGAGCGCATGAACTGAAGTAATTTGAGGAAATGGCTGCTGGAACTTAATGGAGATGGGTTGGGTTACAATGGTAAAGGAGAGATACACTTTAAAATGATTCCCAACTTGTGATCTTTGATTCTAAATCAAACCTATCTAAACCTAAATAGGGCATGAGTGGGGTACTAGGTGAAATCTGAAAAAGGTTTATAGATTAGATATTTGGGATAGTGTCAAATTCTGCATGTTGATAACTTCATTGTGGTTCCATATGATACTATAGTTGGGGAACTGGGGAAAGGTATATTGAAAATCTTTATAATCTTTTTGCAAATTTCTTGTAAATGTGGAATTGTTACATGAAAAGTTAAAAATAAAACTAGCACTGGGGTAAATGGCTTGCCTAACATGTACAAGACCCTAGGTTCAGTCCTCAACATCACAAAATGGGAGAGACTGGCTTGAACAAGAGACCTCAGCTATGGGATCATGGACAGAGAATAAAGGGGAGTGAGAAAGTCTACAGTTCAGATTCTATTAGTGGAATGTATCACCAACAGAGTCAAGATATTCTTCCTAATTTTTTTTTTGTAGTACCAGGGATCGAACTTGGGACCTTGCACTTGTGAGGTAGGCAGCGGAACCACTGAGTCAAATCCCCAACCCCTAATTTTTTGTTTCATGAAGCAAAGCCAGGATATCCTGAATGGATGGATTTTTCTGTCTTGTCCTGTCTCCCCTTTAGTTAGTGATAGACCACTTAAAGCCAGATTCAATAATTATCTTAAGAAAGCTTTCATAATCAAGGCATCTTATACAAGTATATACAAGATTATCTACTGCCAACACTGTTTCTAATAACAGAAAAATAGAATAGCCCAAATACCCATCAAAAAGGAAACAGTACAGCTATACAATAAAATGTAATAAACCCTTCACAAAACAATATAAAGGCAGCTTAATATAAATAATAAAAAAGCCAAGTATAGAACAGACTATAAAATACCTATTGGATTTCAGAGGCACAGTATGAAAAAATACAAATTATCTCAAAATTTTAATATTATTCACGTTAAAATAACATTTTGGCTATGTTATATTAAAAGTAAGATATGTATTTCTGAGATGGAAAAAACATTGACAGATGAATAAAAAACAAATGTGGCATATAACTTCAATGGAATATCATTCAATCCTAAAGGAAACCTTAGTCTATTTCTCCAAAAACATGGCAACACAGCTGGATCCTAACATAGATAAACCCTGAGGACAAAAATGCATGATCTTACTATATAAGCTGTCTAAAATAGTCAAACTCATAGAAACAGAATGGTGGCTCTCACAGATATCAGAAAGAGGGGAAATGAAGAGTAGCTGTTCAACAATTATAAAATTGCAGTTATACAAGACAAGTAAATTGTAGAGCTCTGTGCAACAGTTTCTATAGTTAACACTACTGTATTGACATTTGAAAATTTGCCCAGAAGGTAGATCTTGAATTTGGTTCTTCCCCAAAACAAAAAAACACACCAACAAAGACAGAGACTTTGGAAGATAATGGATATGTTTATTACTTTTACCATGGTAATGGCATCCCAGGTTATACATATGTTCGAACCCATCAGATGGTATATATTAATGTACACTTTTTTGTATAACTATTATAATTCAATACATTGTTTAAAATATTTTCTCCTGCTATAATTTCACAGGGAAGAGGGAATGTGGAGCTAGAAAAGAGATTTTTCTTACATGATCTTCTACTTCTAAAGATACAGATGGAATTTTTGAAAAATATACCAAAAACCTACTTTGGTAATTATTATACCAGACAGACACAGAAACTTGAATTCCTCATTGCCTGGTCTTAAAGTACTAACACTCTTGAAAAAACAAGATTGACTTAATCATACTATCTTCACTAAACTAAAGTTATATTTCATTTTGTCGATAAATCTTCCTGCCCAAAAGGCAGGCATTGAGTTAAATGACATCCAGTTTCACTTTGATGTTCATAGCTGCCAGTTCAGCTACAAAATACCGGAAAACATAAGGCACAGAGACAGTATCAATAGTGTCACTGCGATTACAAACAGTGCAGTTGTATTTTCTGTTTCGCATGGCAGACCAAGAAGGGGGTGGCTTCTCCAACAGCGGAGAGAGTAAACTGCCACACTTCACGCAAACATGTGCTACCGAGCGATCAGAGCAGTTGAAGAGGCGGTCATGAAGCAGAAAAGATGTACCATGAGCCAAAAGAGCATCCCGTTCCATCTCTCCAAAACGGATTCCTCCTTGGACATTTCTTCCTCCAATAGGCTGGTTGGTGACTTTGTCCCTGGCTCCAGTTGTTCTGACTTGAAATTTGTCTGATACCATGTGACGTAAGCGTTGATAATAAACCACACCTATAAATATATCTGCTTCAAGTTCAACCCCGCTGATGCCACTGTACAACCTCTCGGTGCCATAGAAATTGTAGCCAGCAGCCTTTAACATCTCCCCGAAATATTGCAAGGCTGAATTCTCCTCAGAGAAGATGAAGGGTGTAGCATCATGGCAGAGACCATGCAAAGCTGCAGACTTGCCAGCCATGCTCTCAATTAACATTCCAATGGTCATACGAGATGGAAAACCATGAGGATTGAACAGAATGTCGGGCACCATCCCACTCTCAGTAAAAGGCATGTCCTCAGCTGGCCACAATCTGCTTAAAATGCCCTTCTGCCCATGTCGACTGGCAAATTTATCTCCTATAGTTGGGTTCCGAGGGACTCTCATTGTGATGCAAATACACTTGAATTTTCCACTCCCAGAGTCATTACTACACACTTTGATATTATCCACAATACAATTTTCTTTACTCCTAAGAAAAAAATAAACCATAAAAGATAAGCTATTTGTTTAAACTTATGAGGCTTAAGTTTTGTTAATATAATTAGTGCTTTATAAAGGCTATTTTAGATGTTTATTCTTACCCTATTTACCGATACAAATACAACTGGTATTTGTAAAAAGTATGTATGCATAGGGTTATGTGTTCATCAGGCAGAATATTACCAACAAAGACAAGTAAAAAGCTATCATAAAGGCCTACTAAAATCAATTTTGTTACAAAAGAAGCTAAAATGATTACTTTTAATGAAAGGCATAATGAACTCAACATTTTGGGTAAGATTCACCGCTGAAACTATATATGAGAGTTCAAATAATAGTTTGAAAATAAATCAGAGATAAAAGGCAGTGTAACAGGTACAA